AGCAGCCCCGAGTCTGATTCACATCATCCGAGCATTTTAACTTTCCCGACCGTCTTTCGATCCTTCGATGCAAGCCCAATTTTAGGTAATATGGCTTGAACCCTTCTCCATGAGTTTAGATGTGATTATTGAGATGATATAAAAATGTGAATTTGGTGTTTTGAGTGATTTTTTAATTATTGGGATTTTTCGAGTTTGAAGTGGATATTTTAGATTTTATTATCGGAAAGTGATAAAATGACGAATTAAATTTTATAAAATTCGTTGCATTGTCTTGAGGCTTAGGTGGGAAATTGAGAATTCTTGGGTTAGTTTGGTAGGCGAACCGATTTTATGAGTATTTGACTGATTGATGTCGATTCTAGTTGAATGGGCTAAAAGTTGAACTTGGACGTGACCTTTTGACCATATATCTTATGTACATTGAGGATGTTGTGTTTCGAATTTTATAATTTTCGGACACCGTTTAACATAGATTAAAAATCGAGACTTCAGCTCCATTTCGCAATAAATATAGAAAATTAGCCGGATATGATTTTAGCTGCAGTTGTTGATTATAAATGTTGGCTTAAAATGAGTTAAAATTTTCGAGAATCAGAAATCCTAGTTTTACCCGGTTCCGATAGCCGGGTAATTTTCGGATCCGAGTTTAATCAATTGAACCCTAGTACCGTTTAAATAATTTTACATGTCGTAACATTAACTCTTAACGCGTATCGTCGACCCGCACACATGATCGACTCTCGTCCAACCGTTAGAGCCGAACCATCGAGTGCGTGCCCGTGCACCGAGTCCGTTCGACCTATCGTCTACGCGTCGTTTTCCGTAGTCGTGGTCCAAACACGCCCCTACATCTGTGACCGTGGCACCGTTCCAAATCTTGCATCAGCTAAGCCGTATCAATCGAGTTCGTGCCGACCCTTGAGTTGCCACATCGAACCTAGACCACGGTTAAACCGAGCTACACATAGTCAAGCGAATGATCGATCGGCTCCGAGTGAGCTGCCGGTCCAGTTCAGTCGAACTAGTCAGGACGGTTTGAAGAGAATTCCAGTTCAGCCGAATCAGTCCGGATAGTCCAGACGGTTCGAGAAGTTATATATATATATATATGTATATATATATATATTTCAGATAAAGTTTCAGATAGATTTAAATCCAGATATATTTCAGATAAATTTCATTCGGATTTAATTCCAGTTCAGCCGAATTAGTCTGGGCAGTCCGGACGATTCGGGAGTTTCAGTTCGAAACATCAGTTTGAGCGTGAATCGAGATTTTCAGTATTTTTCCGAACCAGTCAGACTGAATTCAGTCAGCATATAGTTCCAGACTTAGAAATGTTTCAGAAAACTCTAGTATGCCTCAAAGGCAATAAATTTTTAAAATCAGCTCGTAAATCCCTAAAGTGATTTTTAAAGCCGAGTGAGCAAACCTAGTCAGATTAGATAATAAAATTTAAGTTTTTCAGTTTAGGCTAAGTACTTAAAATATATTTTGTGCTTATATATTTGTAGCTTGTGCAGAGTTGAGCCTCTGATAGTTGCAAACCATTCAACACTTGCACTTCAGCATATTAGGTGGGGACCCTGTACTGGGTGCTATATTTTCTATAATCGCAATATCCTAGTTGAGGTATGTATGTAAGAGTCCGCCCGAATAGGGGCAATTACCTAGCGAGTAGGTCCTTTCTAGCTAAGTGAATCGAACGCTAGTTTAGATCAAATAAGAATTCTAGTGCAACTTTGAGTTAAGGTGAATTTTAGATGAGGTTAGAATAATTCTTCCCTAAAGGGATTTGATTTAGAAATAGGTTTCGTCATAATCAAGTGTTTCGCATCCCAGTTAGTATCAAGGATTCTAGTTCAGTTGTGAGTTAAGCTCCAACCTTAGAAGTGCATAAAAGTTAGTTTTGCCCTAGTATGTAGCAACGACCTACGGATTAGGTCCTACAGTTGTTTATCGCGAGCGTGAAGAACAAATGTCCTTGTCAGTTAAGTAGTCAGTGGAGCAACAATTATAGATAATCAGTGGAGCAACAATTATAGATAGTTAGATGAGCAGTAGTTATAGACATTATACTTATTTATACGCCATTGTGATGTGTTCTATCATATTAGATGTATGCTTAGGTTGTGATGTGTTTTATCATATTACATGTATGCTTAGGTTGTGATGTGCTTATCATATCATAGGTATGTTTAGTTCGCGATGTTGCAGTTATAGTAGGTCATTGGAGAAACAATTATAGTTAGTCAGTTGAGCAACCATTATAGTTAGTCAGTTGAGCAGCAATTATAGTTGGTCAGTCGAGCAACAATTATAGTTAGTTAGTTGACCAACCATTATAGTTAGTCAGTTGAGCAACAATTATAGTTAGCCAGTTCGAACAACCATCATAGTTAGTCAGTTG